GTAAATCAATACTTTGATTCTTAATCAAAATAGATATGGGCAACGCTATTAGGTCATCAGCCACTGTCGGTTCATCTCCATTCCCAACTCTAAGAAGAAAGTCGCTAAATGTTGAATCTGTCTTTGCTCTCATATTCTTTGATAGCTTCAACTTTTCCATTTTTCTCCACAAATATGAGCTCACTAAACTTTCTCTAACGGTTTGTGATCTTGTTGCACGGGGTACTACCGGTAAAACTTGTCTGAAATCCCCATCAAATACAATTACTTTGCCACCAAATGGATGATCTCGGTCCATTATATCCCTTAATGTTATATCTAATATTTCAATTGCAATGCGTTTACCCATTGGAGCTTCATCCCAAATTATTAATCTAGCTATCTTAATCAATTTTGAGGTTCCATCTTGCTTGGATATGCTACACATAGATGATTCTGTTGTTGGGATTTTTATCTTAAATGAGGTTCCATCTTGCTTGGATATGCTACACATAGATGATTCTGTTGTTGGGATTTTTATCTTAAATCTTGAATGTAATGTTCGGCCTCCAGGTATTATTACAGCTGCTACGCTTGATGTCGCTGTAGCAAGAGTTATCATCCCTTCTAATCTTACTTTGGCAAGTAGAGCACGGTATAAGAATGTCTTCCATGTTCCTCCTGGCCCATCAATAAAGAAAATCCTACTTTTATTTGCCTGAACTCGTGATAACGCGGAAGTATATGCATTATATTGTTCAGAATTAAGTGTTGATTCAGCATTGAGGTCTTCAATTGGAATTTGTACAGTGGGTTCATCTTGAATTTCTCTTGGGTATGAAATTCCTTCTAAATTAGGGTTAGGTTGAACAGGTGGTAAATTAAATTTTCTTGATATCCTTTCCCATATTGTCTAAGAAGAATTTAATGTTGCAAAGGGTGTCATTATCATCGAATTTCTTGTAGCACCAGGTTTCCTTGAGAAGTCTTCAAATAATGCGTCAAGGTATTGTTCCCGTAATTTATTAACATCTGCAGGCTCACAATGAACAAGTATGGTTGCAAACAAACGGCGAAGGGTTGCTGGCATTTGAAAGATGACGGCTTCATCTAAGCATTCTCTAATGCTATTATCTAATTCCAATAAACCTAATTTTCTGGGCTGATTGTTTGAATGATGTGCATTAAATTCCATCCACGGTCAATATATTCTCAAATGAGGTGGGGCATCTGATGTGAGTAAGTAAAAGTCGTAAGTAATATCTTTCCCCTTCAACTGGATTAGCACCATTTATACGACCTATCACTTGTCTTTGTTTTCTTGAACTCCAACATTTTGTCGTCGAATCTCAAACATAGTATTCGGGAAGTTCACAATATAATAACTCTTTTTTCTGGTCTTTTTCTGGTTTTGATTTGTTTGCTTCTTTAATTTTTGAACATAGTGTAAAAAATTCTGTAAGCATTGTCTTGGAGACATAGTCCCAGCAGATGAGCTTCGATAGGTCTTGATTTTTCCAATAGGAAATAAACTGTTGATTCGGCAAGTGTAGTTGTAAGTTGATGACAGCTGGGTAGATCTTATTAAGATAGAATTCATATATTCTCCACAAAGCTTCTTGAGCCGATACCCACCTTGCATCTTGAAATTTTTTTATTTCATTCACAAGTCTTCCTCCTTCATTATATTTAATGTTTACTGCCACTTTATCATGACTCTTATATATGTATTTGTAAAGGTACTTCACTACTTTAATGCCTGAGCATATTTCAACATTAATGTGACAATTATAATGTATCAGCAAATATGGATTGTAAGGTACAACCCACTGATTATTAAGGATTTTATTACGGACCAACATTGTTTTGTTATCTTTCGTCCTCTTATAAATTGGGTAAGCATCTTTTGCTTGCATTGATTGTGAGCTAAATTCGCGAGGATAGTTATATTTGCACTCTCTATTTTTCATGCAACTGTTCTTCATGTTCAACTCCCCACAAGGTCCGTGTATCATATGGTTTTTTTACCAATTCATAGAGGATTGGGTGTATGGATTGGTCTGAAATTTCTGCAGATACATACTTATCATACTGATCCGATAATATGATCTTGTGATCTCTAATGAGAATTATTAAGATATGTGCATGTGGTAGACCTCTTTTTTGAAACTCAATCACGTGAACATGTGCGACAACTTTTCCAAAGATCACCTTTTTAAAGAGTTGATCTTTCAAGTCTTGGAGCTTTGCTCGAAATATCCTTGAGGTTAGATCTGGTCTATCATTATGGGTCTGACCTGGATGTAGTTGCTCAGCGATCTCTTCCCATTCTGGATTACATGTCATTGTTATAAAAAGATCTGGCTTTCCAAATAGTTGTACTAATGACATTATATCAAGATATCTACGACGCATGTCTCTAGGACCACCTATGAATGATGATGGAAGCACTATTCTCTTGCCCACTTGGCATGCATTTGCTTCCCCGGCAGCTACACTGTCAACAATGCCTTGGAATAACTCTGCTCTGATTTCTGATTGTTTATTTCTAAAGTAATCAAGTCTTGTTGTTTTAAGCTTTATGTCACGCCCCGCTTCCCAAAATACTAGGAAATCGAAACATGAACAAGCCCACGACATATTAGATTGAGGAGAATAAATAATAGACCATTTCTTCTCAATCTCATACGCTAAGCGTCAAGCAATATAAAACCAGTCACAGGTCCCCGATCACAATTAGCAAGAATATAATAAACAACTCAGAATAGAAAAGAGTCATATCACAAATAGAATATCATCCGAGATACAAAATTTGGGTCAAACATGCCCTTATTACAAAATAGTCCAACTAAAAATATAAAAGTACATAGTCCAACAGAAATAAAAAAGGAAGTACTGCAACAATAACTAAACCCCTCGAAAGACTAAAAGAGAAAGTACTACATAAGTAATCTAGTGTCCATCAACGACTACAAAAAAGAAAATGACTAAGTTCCAGTTTGTTCTTCTGTTTCATCTGGAAGACACTCCGGCTGGGAATACTCCGGCTCCAAAGCATCATCATACTGGACATGTCTGTCCTCTAAATCTGACGTACAACCCGAGAGGACAGAAGTACGTCAACGTACATGGCACACGGCAAGACCCCACAAGGGAGAATAGGAACGGTCGAACGACCAAAAGCAATAACAATAATAATGAAAAGAACATACAACTAGAATACTAGCTAGATGGAATCCACCACTAGAGTATAACAATCAGAAGAATCCATAATCATCCAAGTATCAAGGTCATACAACTAGCCATCCTATAATAGCTCACTGGTCCACATCTCTCGTAGAGTCAACATTCATATCATCGGATAACTGACTGTTTACAAATCATCTACGCGCATCTAATCTCGCGAAACAGACGGCTAGAGGACTACACGCAATCTGATTTTGGCCAGGTTCGAACTCAAGCAAAACTCAGGTGACGAAACAGGCTACTGACCAAAGTGACGAAACAGGCCACTTGGCCCAACAAACTAACTCCAAGACGAAACAAGTCACTGGTGCGAGTCTGGAAGATACATCAACAATCACATCCGATCACATGAACTATGACTCTCTCATCCCAACTCTTCTTATTTTTCTAAGTCAACAAACATGACCTACAATAGATCTCTGGTCCACCTCCTAAGTTTAGTCAACGCGCGCGCGCACACACACACACACACACACACACATGTCACTAAGTCTTGTTCATGACGTGCAAAGTCACTAAGTCATGAACTACTAATGGTTCTCAATCACAACAAGAAATATAACTGATCATGAGCAATAATATCATGGCATATCAGATAATTAAATCTAAGAAATATAAATCCTGAAATTGTTCTAAAAAATAATCTTCTAAAATAATAAATTTATTTACTTAAAATAATCCTTTTACAAAATAAATTCTTTTAAATATTTATTATTATAATAAAATGATTCTTTTTCCAAAATAACTTCTTATAATTTATCATAATTTTCCTAAAATGATTTCGTTGCCAGAATAATTCTTTTAAATTATTATAATCTATTACCCTTTAAAAGAGGGAGTTTATAAAAAACTTTACCCTCCCCAAAATAACCTTCCACCAAATTTAGTTACCAAACGTATCCTCAATTGATAAGCCACTTTACTCTTTTTCATCGGTTACGACCCCAACCCCTCATCTCTCTCCATCTATCTTGGCCTCTCCTTCGCCGTCTTCTTAGGCTTCCTCCCCAAATCCTCCATCCCCTACCTCTCCTCTCTCCAATCCCGCAACCGAATCCTCTGCCTCAAGCTATTCCAGGCTAAGGACCAGCTAAAAACCCTAAGGTCGAGGAGGAAGGGGGATTCCAAGGCCAACGCCCGCACGCAGGGGAGAAGGAGAGGGATTCGAAACGATGGGTGGAGAGAGCTGCCAGCGGGCGGTAGCAGGTAAATAATTTTTCCCTTCACTTTTCCTTTTTTTAAGCAATTTATCAATTTTGTTTGTTTTAGAAATTCAGGTATCCTTTATGGGAAAAGAGCTATTAGGAATTTTTGTTATCCTTTTTTTTCTCGTAAATTTTGATTTTATTTTGAAAATTCTTAGTCTGTGCGACATCTTTCTTAATTCTTAGAATTCAAATAAAAGTAGGTATGATGTTTTGATATGTGATTAATTTCATTATGAAATTTTTCGTATTTTGAAATTAAGCATAACACCAACGTAATTGTTTTCTCTGAGGCAATTTAGGTTCTATGCATTGGAATTTAGTTTATTTTCTTGCACTGCAATTAGTTTTTACGACAATTGATATTTTTCTAATTTTTTCAGTTTATCCTTGTCTGGCCTTGTCTCGTCAAGCCGTTCGTCTTCGCCGTCGATCCGCCGTTCTCCATAAGGTCGATTCAAAACCCTACTTTTTTCACTTTCATCTATTATTATTTTTCCATATATAAAAGAATCATTGTACATCAAAAATATTCCTTTTGTTCAGTTATTCATACCTTCGCAATTCCAAGTTTTGATTTTTGCAAATAAGTATTCCTGGTTGAAATAAAAAATTATGCTGAAACCATTTAGTTTTGAAGCATAATTTGCAAGTTGTGCAGCTTGGTTAATATAATATACTCGGCATGTTCTATAGTGTTAGAAATGCTTCAGGCCTGCCACTTCCAAGGAATTGGAAACATGTTGCTTCATTTGATAACTACTTCCTTTATAATCTATTGTCTACAAATTGTGATAGACTAATGAAATATATTCTGGAGATGACGTTTTATGGTTGAGGAGGTGTTGCTGGATTTGGATGAAGAGGGGAAAGAAATGGTTTTTGGTGTGTCATGGTTGAGGAGTTGACGAGGTGTCTAAAAATTGTCATGAAGCTATGAATTTAATTTCTAAGGTTTATGGGAGCGAATTTGTCGTCAGAGATGATGTTCTTGTTGTGTCATGGTTAGTAAGGATCATTTTCATGATGGGTCGGGTTTGCTCTTGTAATGGTTTTTGGTGATTTAGTTAGGAAGGATGATGTTCTTGTGGTGTAATGGTTGTATTGTGAAATGTTTGTGTCATGGGTTGTGCTACTGAAGGTTTTGGATGAAGATTATATATATGTCTAATAGTAATAGATTTGTGCTCAATTTTAGTAATTCTAATTATATATGCAGAACTATGAAAGGATACGAGATTTCTCAGTCGTGTAGTAGTGCGTATTTGTCTCCCTCTTTTTTCATTCTTACTCACTTGCAGTTGCAGTACATACACACTTCATTGGGGAATTTTTTCTCCCTCTCTGTATACGATTGTATAGTAGTATTTTTGCAGGATGTCAGGCAAACTGAGAAAATTAACAAAAGTCCTGATATTGATTTCATGTACACGAAGGTAAGCTATTATTCTTATTTTATTTGCCATGCAATGTTACAAATAAAGCAACACTATTGAGCCTTCTCCTTACCTTATATTATTATTATTATTTTAAAAATTGCTTTTGCCTTCGGTTCAGGCTCTGTATTATGCTCTTCCAATGGATTATATGACAGTAGCAAAACTTCAGACTAAGCTAGATGGAGAGGCTAAACAGAATACTGTTAGAAAATTGATCGACAAGATAGCTCAGGATGGATACCTGAAAAGCTCAGGCAGCAAGAGATTGGGTATTCATCCTAACTATGAAACCTGATTTTAGGAGATCATAATTTATTAACTAATCAATACCTGCTTGTGGATTATTTTACGAAGTTAACATATTTAAGCATCACACTTTCTTTAGCTACAGTAGAACGATATTGTGAGGCATAGATAGCCTTGACCTGAAAAGCTCAGGCAGCAAGAGATTGGACGTTCATCCTAACTATGAAGCCTCAATTTAGGCGATCATAATTTATTAACTAATCAATACCTGCTAGCAGAATTATTTCACAAAGTTAATATATTTAAGCATCATACTTTCTTTAGCTACAAGAGAACAACATTATGAGGCATAGGTAGCTTTGACCTAACCCCTAGAGAGTTCAAAGTTAACATCCTTTATTTGCCCATTTCTTGTAAGATTACTTAAGTTTCATGCAATTTATTCTTACTGTTTCTTTGTATAACAGTTCTAGAAGTTGGTAAGAGTTAAACAATATTTCCAATTAGCCTTGAATCTTGATTTATCAATTGTTAAAAAATCATAAACTCTTTTATAGATCCTTAAGCACAGATAAATCTGCAAAACCTAGCAAAGAACAGGAACAATGCATCTGAAGAAAACCCTTATCATTTTAATTTCCCAATATGCTTCTTCCACATTCTACATGCAATAGGAAATGCTAAGTGATTACTATCATTTAGTTCATGACTAAATGACTCACAAGTTGGCATAGATTTAGCGGAGTTGATTAAAGAACATAAGTACTCTCAAATTCAAGAACTTCGTAAATATCCTTTACATTTAAAAATCAAGCAACGAAAACCACAGTACCATTTGCATATTATAAAGAAGTTGTACCCAAAAGAAACCAACCATAACAAGCTTCGTACCTTTAGAATGTAGCTTTGTACCTTTAGAATGTATTTTGGTAAACACATCAACTACCCGCTGTTGACATCCTTTCTTATTAATCATAATTTCCCCCTTCACAATGATTTAACCATGACTATCTAGGTGCACAACAGCCAGCTATAAACATCTGGTAAAGATACAGATTTTTTAGAGAATTGTTTTTAGCATGTGGTACTTTTAATTAAAAAAAACAAATTAACTTATCATAACTTTCTCAAAATTCAATTAGAGTAAAATACCCTCTAAATTGTTGGCATCGCATTCAGAATAAGTTCTTGAGAAAGCTATAGAATCAAGAATATATCTATTTTAGATAAAAGCAAAATGAGTTTTGTTTATTAATTAATCAAAGCACCAATCTAAGTCCATTAGCTAAAATCTTCATAAATCTTAAAACAACAGTTTAATAAGCTTAAAGCTCCAAAGTACATTTGTTTCCCTCGACCAGAGATTATTTGATCTTATTTTAGATGGACTGTACTGAAGGTGACTGCCAATGCTGGCAAGCCTGGAACTAACATCTGTTGAATCTGTCTATTCTTAAATTGGTGGAAGTTTAAACAAAAGCAAACTGAGCTTTGTATAATAATTGATTGATCACCAATCTAAATCTTCTAGCTAAAACCATCATAATCTTTAAAAACAGTTTAATTAACTTAGAGCTCCCAAAGAAAACTTGTTTCTTGTTGTAGAGATAGCTTGTAGATGGATTGTGCTTAAGGTGATTGCCAGTACTGGGAAGCTTGAAACTAAAATCTGGCGAATACGTCTGTGGTTAACACGGTTAGAGTTACTGGAATGTTCCTGGACTGAAGTTACTTTGTTAGTTTGTTTCCTCTGAAGTGTTTCTACAGGATCTTTTGCTTTGGAGAAAACATGACTCTGTATATTTTGATTTTATAGCCTAGGGGTGAAATTAATATTCTACAAGTCACGAAACTGCCTACCATTTATCATTTTATTCTTTTTATCTTTTAATTATTAAAGCACTACACTTTTCAGGATGTTATATATCTTGAACTTGAGAATATCTTGGAAGTTATAATTACACATGAAATACTTACCTGCCATGCTGCTGTGTCCTTATATACTGCTTTATCCAATGTCACCTAGATTTCAAGGTCGTACTTATGGCATGCTGGGCACATCAGAGATGGATCTGGATGTCGAACCTGATTTTGCTAGACTTAGGCACCACCACGAGGATTTCAACTTCAGTGAAATGTTTGTGCATTAGATGATCCATTCAATTGAATTTGTCTTGGGGGCTGTCTCAAACACTGCATCCTATCTTCGACTTTGGGCAGATGATCCATTCAATTGAATTTGTCTTGGGGGCTGTCTCAAACACTGCATCCTATCTTCGACTTTGGGCTCTGAAGTAAATCATGGTTGGCCAATCACTTTTGCATCTTTATACCCAATCGTATGTTCGGTAATATTTTTCTGATATGTTTGTTTTCAGCTTGGCTCACTCAGAATTGTCAACTGTATTTTATGAGAAAATACTTCTCCTTGCTTGGGGGTGAGCCTAATTCTGAAAGCTTCATACTTTAATTTCTTGATGTTGTTAGTGTCTCAAACGTTTTGTTTGATGTGTCAAAGTTTTCCCTCAAATGTAATAGTATAGCAATATATTTTGATCTTGTCCCTTTTACAGTGGGAAATGCAGAACTTCACCCAGAAGTTCGTTGGAATGATGAAATCAGAAAATATATTCCAATGGCAGGTTGGCACTATTATCGTATCTCAGGTTACAAGTTTTCAACATTATCTATACAAATTTATAGTAATACTAATATTGCTTGTATCGATATTATATTATTTATTGCTATATTTTCACAGATTTAGATTGAATTTAGACATCTAGAACGGGATCAGGGGGCTCCAGCAAAGGCTTATGCAGGTTGGGGAGCGAAAATGAAACTCGACCTTGACACTGGGATTCAATGGATCATGTGCAAATAAGATGATGCACCTGATCCTATTGTAAGTTTCTTCTTCTCTTTTTTAAATCATTTTGGAATCCTTTTCATTGTCAGCTTAGTTAAATAATTTATAATTGTGTTTTCCTTCTCTCCAAGGACCCACTGCACATGCTTTAATAATCTTATATTCTATCTCACTACACCTCTTTAAATAGTCAAATTGAATCATTCTTAATAGTAAAACATTTTCTTGAATTCGTATAGATTAACACGTGGAATGGACTTTGTGACAGAGGCTTTCATCAAAGGTCCTTGCGTCTTGATAGGAATGCCTATCTAGCAATTTAAAACCAGATCTCATTATTCTTTAAGATTTTCACTTTCACGCAATGTTTTTGCTCATTTACAGATACATGCACTGTCAGTTTGGTAATGTATTAAATACACTGCCGAAGATAAGCAGATGCCTTCCTGAGCAAATGACCGTTGCTTAACTTGAGCTTATATAGATATTTGATGTCAAGCATATGATTCTTAGCCTCTTGCATGTTGAAATTGTATATAATATAGTATTATCCTTTATGCAATGTATTTCCAGTATTGGTGGAACTTGTTTCCCATGCTAAGCTACCATGTGCTATTTTAGCCCTTGTCTTAAATGTGTTTATATAAAAGAAATTCATTTCTTAATTTATCTTTGCAATGAAAATAAATATGGTACCATTTTACAGGAAGAACAAAGAGCACATGATCTCTTTAATGCCCTCTGGATTCACGACTTCTTTATGGAAAGAGTCCAAAATAATGGAGAGTGGTCATTGTTTTGCCCTAATGAAGCTCAAGGATTGGCTGATTGCTGGGGCAAGGAGTTTAATAAGTTGTACACAAAATATGACAGAGAGGTAAACCTTCTCTGATTTTAAAAATTAGATCTAATAAGATTTGAGTTTGCACTCAATATATATCTGTTATGATTTCAAGGGTAAGGCCAAGAAGGTTGTTCAAGCTCAGAACCTCTGGTTTGAAGTTCTGAAGCCGAAACTAGAACACCATACATGCTATATAAGGTATCAAGAAAACATTCATAATCGCTCTTGCGATGTTGTTTATTGCAGATGACATAATAAAGCTCAAGAAAGGCAATTGTATAGTGCTCACTATTTTATAATAATATATACAATATGAAATGTATTGTGGGTGATACCATCAAATATATATTGAGGAATTTTGGGTACATTGGTACTTCTTATGGTTTTCGCGCGTATAATAAAATATTGAACCTAACTTTATTTGGGGATACTTTAACTATGTAATCTGATCAAAGTACTTAACAACTTCTACTTTTTATATTTTGTGAAAAATTAAATTATAACTGTTCAAATAGGTATCTTGAGGAATAATCATTGACAATCTTTTGTATCAGGTACATGATAGAAAAAATGTTAAATGTCCTATTCTGGAGCTTCTTCCATTATATTTCTATATCTGCTTAAATAAATTTGGTTTTAAGATTTTCTATAAGCTTCTCATAAGAACGAAACCAGGTCCTTTGCTTTCCTATCTCTGTTGCAATTTCTTCAACCATGAGGACTTTCCAACAGTTTATAGCTTAACTAACTGACTGATTTTCCTTCTCTTTTTTTAATGAAACTCCAGTACCATTTGGGAAGAGGTCATATAGGAACATCAATGAAAGAAAAGTTATACCACCTGTTGGAGCAAAGATCAAGTTCATGGTACTCTTTTACTTTCAATTTGGGTGCTTGTTATTATGCTTTCATATAACTTATTTCCCCCTGCTAATTACAAACTCACTTCGTGCTAACTACAGACTGACTTTTGAGAACCTCATTATAGAAAGGTGAAAATATATTGTTAGATTTTTACATCATTATACATGTGGGAAGCCTTCCCGTGTAACAGTTGGATATGATTTTTATTACATAATTGATCATCTCAGGAGTCATGTGTTCAACTCATAGTAGTATGTATGGTAAAAGAATATTTTTCATTTTCACAATAACAGTATTTGAAGTATCAGCCATACCATGGCATGTGAAAGACAGTTCAATAACTAATTGCTTGATGTTATTCGTATAGTTTCATGTTTCAATACTTCATTTTAACCTTTTACCTCAAACCCTTCTACATTCCTTGGTCTTAAAACCTTGAGTAATCTATAGATGGTTTCCATGCTTTGTTATGGACAGGAATAAATTGTGGGTGTAAACAAATACGAA